AATATCTCGTCAATAGTTGTCATTGGGTAATGTCTGCGTTTGATTGCAGCATTGAGGTCTCGTGGATCTAGACATATTCTAGAGTAATTCCATATGAATCCAACACACGTTGTTGCCCGACCCCCTTCAAATCACCCAATATTTTGCATGTTGGGGGTTCTACCTAAGATAACCCAAGAGTGACATTTTTGGCTCCGCGCCAGCATTTTCTGATCAGTTAGAGCAATTTGAAATTTTCATGCGATTTGGCTAAAAAAACTCGCCTTCTGACTGACAACTGCTGATATGTCTCTTGAAACTCACCGTATTGGAGAAATTCTGTTACCGTTGAATAAAGGAGACGATTCACTTTCAAATGATATGCAACTCAATGATGTCCGAACTAGTGAGAATTATATAGATCAAGTCACGTGACCTTGACCTTTGACTCAAAATATCACAAAAGTATATATCTCGATTTTTGGAAAACTCACACCTCAGTTTGGACACTTAGCCCACATGATGCCTCTAAAGTTTTATTGTGGAAAAATGAAATATATTAACTCTAGACTACATTTTGTGCCTAGGTATTGATAGTTTCACTGAGGTTCCAGGAAATCTGCTGATAGATTCTATGAAACTGGCACCATAGTATAGTAAAAATCTGGGGCCTTGTGACCATTTTTCTGGGACCAAGGTTTCACTGCTGATTTAGCATCACTAGGGTATAAATAAGAAAATTGAGCGAGGGAGAACCTCCAGAAAAAGGGTGGAACATATTTTTTTGGCGGCCATTTTCTAAATGGCCGCCAAAATTATGATATTGACTCATAACTTCACTTATATCCAATGAAAAAGGGCAAATCTGGTGTCTAACTATATGTTATTAGTGTCAGTGAAGCCAATGAGATAGGTTTCGAAAACGTAAAATGGCAGCAATATTGAAACTCAAGATGGCCGCCTTAAAAATGGTCAAAAAATTATTTTTCAGTATAATTCCACATTTCCTCTATGGAAAATGGTAAATTTGGATCTAATCATATGATTTTGGGCTCTCTGAATACAATAAATATAGTTTGAAAAAGCTAGGATGGTAGTCATTTTGAAATTCAAGATGGCCGCTATAAATATCCTCAAAAATATTTTAGTTTGTAATTCCACTAAATTTGGTGTTTAAGCATATGTAATTGGGCTCTTTGAGTCCAATATACATGACACCAAAGGTAGGATTGCAGAAGGTAGGATGGCAGCCGTTTTAAAATTGAAGATGGCCGCCACGAAAATTGTCGAAAATCAATATTTTGTTAATTGTTTAATTTTTTCGTAGCCGAAATGGCAAACATTTCGTGTCTAATCACATGTTGTGTCTCTCTATATATTGATTTTTGACAATTTTCATGGCAGCCATCTTGAATTTCAAAATGGCTGCCATCAAAGCTTTTTGAAATCATGTTTATTGAACTCAGTTGACACAATAGCATATAATTTGACACCAAATTTAGCATTTATCATGAAATAGAAGTGGAATTACATACCAGAATATTCATTTTTTGATGGTTTTTATGGCGGCAATCTTGAAATTCAAAATGGCTGTTATTCTAGATTTATGAAACCTCATCAGAAAATGCTGGCACGGAGCCAAAAATTTCACTTTGGGGTTATCGGTTATCTCAGGTAGAACCCCAACATGCAAAATATTGAGCGATTTGAAGGGGGTCGGGCAAAAAAGTGTGTTGGATTCATATGGAATGACTCTAGTCTTATTCGGCGAAAGAAGACGAAACACTGTTTACCCAAAGTGTAGCTCTTGTTACTTTGGTAATGATACCTTCATGTTCTAATCGGTCCAGTTCACATTTTAGCTTATCTTTTACTGCTACCGGCACTTTCTGTTGGGCATGGATAATTGATTTTGCTTGCGGATCGACTTGTATATCATATATTCCGTTCAGCTTGCCTAAGCATGTGAATAAGTCTGGAAATTCTGCTAAACGGTCGATCATCAATGTTAAGTGCAGATACATCTTTGTTTTCAACATTCTTTGTGACTTCCCTAACATTTTCAGGTTTTATGGAGAGTAAGTCCATTTGTTGTATAGCTCTACAACCCAACAGAGGTCCACCAATCTTTGGATTTATCATTTTGACTTTGCATTGTCCCACAGGTTTGAGACTTGAGATGTTGTACATTGTCAGCACCTTAGATATTTATATGATAATGCTCTCTTCTGGTAAGCTTTGCTGGTTGATGAAATTACACGTTGCGCCTGAGTCAAGTTGAAATTTTACTGCTTACTGTTTCTTTCCTAACATCATCGTGGCAAATAGCTTGCATGGTTCTTGGCTCAGCGTGTGTATTTCTACTAAATGTAAGTTCTCATAGTCGGATGAATTTCTATCCATATGCGTGTACTTTTTTTCTCTTTTGCCTGCATTGTGTGCAAAGTGATTTCTTTTAGGACATACAGTAGAGGTTTTACCATAGGCTGGGCATGAATCGGATGCTTCATACCTCAATAATTGCACTAAAAGACTGGTGACCTCTGCTTTAGGTTCCTATTTTCTTGCAACAATGCATTGACATTTGTATTTTGACTTTTGCTTTAATGCATGTACCTCTTGGTCTCCATTCTTTGTTTCACTGATTCTTACAGTTTCAATTGCCTCTTTCAATTATCTCTTTTTTTAATGTAAAATCTGTAGCATTAAATACACAGTAGGTGTAATTTTAACGTTTAACAGGACCATGTAAAACAGGTTAAAAGATCCAACATGTTTTTCCTGTGTAAATATGTTCGAAAAAAAAAAAAAAGTAATCTAAGTGCATAACCTTCACCAAAGTCTAACGACTGTGAAGAGAGTGGGGCTATTTTTACGGTGCAGAAGTTTAAATGAGAAACATTTTTTTAAAATTATTTAATGACTAGTCATTTATCAATGACTAGTGTTTAAAACCCACATGAGAAAAATAAAAGTGAATATTTGTTGCTGTTGCTGTTGCTGCCGCTGCTGCTGTCGCATCCACCGTACAGACACACATGATTTTGTCTTTAAAAAACAGGTTTTGTATAGATAAACGTGGTTTTGTCTTCAAAAAACATGTTTTGTATAGACAAACATGGTTTTTGTAATTTACAAAACATGTTTTGTACTGACAAACATGGTCTTCTCGAAGGGGTTCTTTAAAGTGCACACGAGTCAAATGCGTACAACGGTTTAAAGTCCTTATCCGAGAAGACATGTTCCACCACCGGAACCACTGGCGAGTGAGGTGTTCGAACCAGCGCCGATATTATAGTTGAAGGTTACGGTGCCCCTGACTTAACCGGTCGGCCAAAGAACTCGCCAATATACTACAAAACATGTTTTGTACAGACAAACATGGTTTTGTCTTTACAAAACTTATTTTGTATAGATAAACATGGTTATGTCTTTCACAAAACATGTATTGTACAGACAAACATGGCTTTGTCTTTACAAAACATGTTTTGTATAGACAAACATGGTTATGACTTTACAAAACATGTCTTGTCTTTTACAAAGCTTGTTTTGTACAAACAAATTTTTGTCTTTACATAGCTAACTTTTTGTCATGAGATTTCAGTTTTCTACAACAAAATAAAACTCCAGAGAAGTCGAAATTGTCTATACTCACTATGGCATATATTTATTTGCATTGCTAATTTAATATTCTATTTATATCGACACTTATGTCGCTCTACGAGGAACAGAACACCTTACAAATCTTCCATTTCATAAGAAAAACAAAAACAAAAAAGTGTGATAACAATCAGCTTTACTCTGAGAAAAGAAACTCACTATGGCAATGTTTATTTTACATATTTGCATAAAGTAAAAACAAACGTTTTTATTTCCTTTATTTATCTACCGATCGTAATCTTTGGAACATTTCCACCAGCGAACGAAAAGCTGCTGGCCACACATGTGTCGATTTATTAGTTTAAACGGGTTTTTTGCATTGCTAATTTAATATTCTATTTATATCGACACTTATGTCGCTCTACGAGGAACAGAACACCTTACAAAACTTCCATTACATTCTTTGTGACTTCCATAACATTTTCAGGTTTTATGGAGAGTAAGTTCATTTGTTGTATAGCTCTACAACCCAACAAAGGTCCACCAATCTTTGGATTTATCAGTTTGACTTTGCATTGTTTATTTATCTACCGATCGTAATCTTTGGAACATTTCCACCAGCGAACGAAAAGCTGCTGGCCACACATGTGTCAATTTATTAGTTTAAACGGGTTTTTTGCATGATTGCTAATTTAATATTCTATTTATATCGACACTTATGTCGCTCTACGAGGAACAGAAAACCTTACAAAACTTCCATTTCATAAGAAAAACAAAAACAAAAAAGTGTGATAACAATCAGATTTACTCTGAGAAAAGAAAAGTTCTTTAAATTATTTTGTACCTCTCATTGCAGTTGATAAAACATGTTTAAGATTACGTTTACTTACTTATCAAAGGTGGCTTTAAATAGTTTTAAAAATGTATTCATTTAAATTATTGTATGAAAATAATACTCCAAATATTGAAGACCATGCAATCGATTTGGGATTAAATATTTCGACTTTAAATATGTTCCATTAGTAATGAAAAATTATCCATATTCACAAGCTTATATACATCAAATTCCAAAAGTATACAATCAAAAAAATTACCTCTAGTAGGTGAAAGCTGTGATTTAAACTTAAGCTCAAAGCATTCTTTCTCTACTGATCAAAGCTACCTACAAATACAAAGAAAGTTTCTTTGATGCCTGAGCCAATTGTTATACAATGGGTGTAGTCTACGTATATCAAACGCTTCATTAATATACATACATTTCTAATAATAAATATAAATTGATCTAAACCTACGACTTTCTCATCGATAAACCTATTTTGAAATCGATGGTAGATGGTTATCTGCATATATAGTTTTTTCTGCAACTACAACAAATAATTATTTATCTATTATTTATAAATTGTTCCAATATAAGCCTAATATCAAAATAAGTAAAATAATGTTCATTCTGTCTGTCAAAATACAGATATTTGGGGCATTGGACTTAGGCCAGACTGCCGAAACCCAGTTTTGCTGAATCCTACATTTCCGAGTATCAAACTCAAAAATTGTGAATATTAGTTTGCCAAGACCCAGATTGCCAAATGTGTATTTAATAGCAACTCATACTCAAATCTCATTCCTTATGAGTGCAAGTTAAGTTAGTTTACCTAGGCCAAAATTAACTTCTCTATTCTATACACGCAGCCTAATAGCTGTTCCAAGTATTCTAGCTAACACCAAAATGTCCAACTACTATAAGCTAACCTTACCCACACTGCCCAAACCGTTTAAATTGTATTCGTTGTTCAGTAGGCACGTAACTTATGACATCTCTGACCTGTAATCCAGCGTTCCACGTCATTGATTAATTATATTCTACCACTCTTTTGTTCAGTTCCAATTAATGCCTTCCGGCTTTTCCACACGTTTATTCTGTTGATGGCATATATTTTGACAATAAGTTGTCAATGATTTACATGTTTTATTTAGGTGTTTATAAGAGTGCCTTTTCTTTAAAATAAAGTTGCTAAAATTATCTCATTTCACCTTTTTTTGGCCAGATGGTTCTTCTTTACTTTACCTTCGATCCCCTACTCAAGCTTCCCAGTCCCGTCAGCCTCCCCTACCACCATGACAAATAACCTAGATACACACCAATGACCAACGCACAGTAGACTGCACCTCTTTGTACTTGAAGTTTGGGCATTTGATTAAATATTTTAGTGTAATGAGTTGAAATTCAGATAAATGTGTTTTCATAAGTATGGGTCGGTAGTATGGCATTTCGGCAAAGTGGACTCGGAAATCTGGAATTCGGCAAACTGGGTTTCAGAAAACTGGTCAAATACCCCGGGCCTTAAATGCTAAATATATATAAAATATAATAATGACATAGGCCTTCAACACTTATCCTCTCGAATATTTGTCTTTGTAGGACTTTGAGCAGAATAATTCGTAAAATCAGCACTAGGAATCATACCATTTACTTTCTCTAAGAGCTGCACGTTGTAAGTCTGTCTACGTGATCCGGCACAGCATGCACAGCAGTACTCTTTCCATTCATCACGAATATGTTTTTGTCGTACGCAGAAGAACAAGAAGATAAAGAAGCCTTGAAGTGAGTTGAAAATGCAAAATAGTGCTTGAAATATTTCCCTTGTAGACGAGTTAGAATCAATTGCCATGAATCCAAAAACCCATGTTAGCCCGAGTAGGACTGAAATTGCGATACCGTTCTGCAAATGACGTTTGATAACAAGCTTCCTCTTTGACTCGTCGACATTCATTATATTTCGCCCGCAAGTCAGTCTACGCATGACTAGAACGAATACTACACAGTTAAACAACAGAAGGAGACCGACAACGAAGATGAATCCAAAATTCCGAAGATTTCCTGAAGAAATGAAACAGCTGCAATACAAAAATATCTTTATCTTTAACGCAATGTTTTCACAAGCACACGCTTATCAAAATTATATAAGCTTACTTATTTTGTGTATTTATTGTGGTTGTGTATAATTACACTACACCTAGATTTAGTTAAAGAGCCGGTGTACTAAACTGGCAAAAAATGTTATTTCTCTATATATTTGTTATAACTGGTATAAAAACGCTAAGAATGCAAGATAAAAATGTTTAAAATAAATTAAAACATGAGTAGAAATGACTGTTTCAGGAATGAGGGGAACTAATAACCTGTATAACCACTGTCTCTGTATTGTACCTGTACTATTTGGAAGTTGACAAGCATCACCTTTGATTTATTTTCCTCACTATATTTTATTTAGATAAAATGGGGCTAATTGGCCACACATGTATGTTCTGTACTCCAAAAATTAAGGGCAGCTTTTTAGCTTGTCTCATCATGCGGCTAGCAAACGCTGTAAGATGTAATTTGCCACGTTTAGGCACCTAAACATTTTTGTGACGTGTCAGTTTCGAGTACAAGTGGCTGATCGAACTGTGGATATACTTTACCATCAACCGATCGAGTAACACCTCTTTTTAAATAAAAACAATGTGATTGTTTTATGTTAAAGATACATCCCAGAGATTCATAAATACTTTATAATTTATTGAAAGGTACTGAAAATGTTAACTAATCTTGGGGACATTCTTAGAAACCCAATTGAACTACATGGTACCCTAAAACCGTCTTTTTAGTAAAATTTGGATCCATAGCAGATTTTAATATTCGTTGGCTAGATCAGATAAAACGTATTTAGCTCCACACACAGCGCTACTAGCAGTTTCTCAATTCGTGCCAAATACACCTCTGATAGCTTTATTATCCAGCTTCCCAAATTCAATGCATAAACGCAATTTTCTATCTGTTTATAGTCTTAGGGTGCTATTTTCAGGCATCTAGAAGTGTTATAACCGTACCAATTCGTATTTCATCTCCATCTCAGCATTGGAGTCACTAATTTGTTTTCAAATAAGTCATGGATAATCCTTTAAATTCCAAGAAGGGGATTTTGAGGGGTTCCTTCTTAATTTAAGGCAATAGCCGTTAACGCCCTACTTTGCTGGTCAATAAATTAAAACTTGTAGGAGAATTTGTTTATCAATGCTCTGTCATTGGTTAATAATTCCAAATATTTACTATTCAAGCATTATCTTCTAATGTTTAAGTGAGCTTTGAAATTCGTAATGATGTTCTTGTGTTATGTTCTAATCATCGAATTAAAAAAAAATCCCCTGTATTTTAATGTAGGCATGCCCATAATCTTTAGTATATTCATAATTCATTTTTACTCAACCCTCTTATATACGATTTTGGTTGCTCTGAGCTGCGCTCGTCCTATATTGGAAGTATCACTTTTTAAGAGCAGATTCCAAATACTACTTGCCTACTCTAAGTGCGGCCGAATTATGTTTGCGATATGTACAGATTCCTTTGTATACAAAGTGTCAAAAGTAACACCATGAAGGTCCTTAGTTGAACTTAAGTAGGTAACACCTTTTCTCTTCACCTGTGAACATGGTACTGATAGTGTAGGTTTTTGACGTTCATATTTCTCTGTTTTAAACTTTATTTCTTGACCATTTTTTCAATACCTAGAGATCGTTTTAAATTATATCATTTGGCTTCATGTTGACGATATTTAAAAAAAAAGAATGGTGTCATTTGCAAACATCCGTACTATAGCTTTCCAGAAATCCAAATATACGTTATTAGAGATACTACTTTTGTCATTAAAAACTGCGTAATTTTATTCCACACAATAGATTGTCTCTCTAGTTGAAACCTCATAATTCCTATTTTTAACAGTTAGTGCATTTTTTTGTTTGTTTTTTTTTTTTTGTTTTTTGTTTTTTGTTTTTTGTTTTTTTTGTTTTTTGTATGTTTGCAGCGTTGTTTATTATGCTGTTGTAAATTTCACGGGAATACTTTTGTTCTTGTATTTACAAATTGGTCATATTCCAGTCTACGTCATTCATCAATTCTTTCATTTTTGTATATATTTTCGTGTAGTATTACGTCGCTACAATTCAAATCTGCTCTTAGCAAAAGCACAGCTTAACGTTATATTTTCGTCAGTATCAGTAAGAAGTCTGGCTTGGAGTTACTTGTCCAGACCTTTAATTAAAAAAATTGAAAACTAGGTCTAAATTAGATCTAACTGCAGCTTCATGCGACTCCTCTTCAAATATTTCATGGGATATTCGAAAAATATATTTAAGTCCATCACTGAAGTCAAATTGTTAATAATATTACACGGATGTTTAAGGTTGAGGCCAAAAATTTGTTATAAATTTCACGTTAATTTAGGTTTATTCTAGCTGTAACAAGTTAAAAACATTTGGAAAAGCAAATTATTCTTCATTAATAATCAGAATATTTAGAATGAAGTGTTATTTAAGTATGCACATCTTTGATATATGGTATTTGGACAAAGTTTGAAAAAATCTAAGCAAATTGAAAACCCCAGAAAATGTACAAAAAATGTACAAAAACTTTGTAGAACAGGATAGAAGAAAGGAAATAATACAAATACAGTCACTTTTCCGTTTGTTAAAATAAAATAGCTAACAATATTTTAAAAATTGGATCAGAAACAAACATATCAATAACTGGTGAAGTTCTTTAACGGTATGTGCATCTTGTGTTGCTAAGACGAACAGCTTGCTTATTGTGCTATTATTTTAATTGTGTCAGACTAGTCAATTATTTACATTTTAATTCATGTGAATTTATTGTTGTAGATATAATTTATAAATGGCTTGAATATTTTGGTTAATTTACAGAAATACATGGCATCAAAGATTTGAATTAAAAATATGGTATCATAATTCAATACTTACTATTTTTCATCCGCATAGTTGTCGACGTCAATCGCCAAACAAATTGCAACGATAACTAAAGGAAAACCTAAAAATAAATTGCAATACTATAATTAACTTACAAAGCCTATATGCACATAATGATATATAGGCCTATTTTATATATGGTTTAGTGAAGAATGTATGATTATAATTACTATCATTCAGAAGTTCGAGCGGTGCATATTCATTTCTTATTTCTTAGTTGGTTTTTTGCTCACTACTTTTTTAAGACACAAAAAGGACTTTCAAGAAAAACTCGGGAACGATTAATGAGAAACAGATTTTTGAATATCTAAAAAAGTATGGAAAAGGGCGTAACGACTCTATCTATTTCACTAGAAATATAAACTTAAAGCACACTCTCAAACTTAGTTATGCTTTGCAGCATTAGCGCATCGCAGCCACTTTTGAAGGAACACAAACGGTTGAACTCGGCCTCGAATCAAAGAATATCTGGTGTATTGCCAATGCATTACTTTCAAGGTCCTATTGTAATTTTATCTGCAGCAGATAGATCACAGCGATCGAAATATTATCCCATCATTATAATCATAATTATTAGAAAAGTTTTTTGTGAAGTATTAACAAGCTGCTGCTTTCCTATCTTGAAGTAAATGAGCTTCTTAGTAGCGCTCAGTGTGCTTTTAGGCAATACCAATCTTCAAGAGATCTCCTATCAGTACTACTCACTGGTCATGTACACAAAGCACTGGACCAAAATAATAAAAGCTTTTATGGTGGACAACATTCCAAAATATAAGTCACCGTGGATTATTTCACAAGATGCAATCATATGGTATCACTGGCTCTCTTTTTTACTTATTCAATTCACTCATTTTTTCTACAAACATATGAAGGTTTTCCTAACTGTAAGTCGTCTTCTACTTCTAAAAGGGTTTTTGACGAAAAACAGTTAATGATATAAAGATTTTTGAATACTTAACAATTTGGGAAAAGGTGCAATTAGAGTGTTTACGCCCCCTTTCCCCATATTTTTGAAAATACTATCTTATTAACTGTTCCCGAGACATTTTGCGTCTTAGCAATATCAGTTTTATAAACAATGGAATATATTTTCCTCGTGAGCTTGGCTTTAAAACAACAATTTGAAGCCTTATTATTTATTATTTTATTTATAACAACATTTCAGGAGAAAAAAACAATATAAAATGTCCTCCATATATAATCAAGAGTAAAACACTATCGAGGGTTCTCCAGGGCATCATAAAATAAAAAAAATTGCAAAATTTTACATTAAAATTAATTGTTCGATAAATAAGTCGTATCAAAATAGAGGTCATATAAAAAATATTATAAAATACATACATAGAATTCATTACATAAAAAAATACGATCAATTGAGTAATTATTTACAAATAGTTAAAGATGTAGTGTGTCATGCTAAATACCAAAAAAAAAATCATTATTAACTTGCCCATTTTGAAGTAACGTAAAATTTATCAACTTGAACATAGCAATTAGTGTATTTAAAAAATGTCTACCCATCAGTTTACAGCGAAAAATGATAGAAACAATTCCAGTCACTGGAAGTGTTTTATTATTTTTATTATAATTCTTTGGTTTAAAAATCAGGGCACACATTTTTTAAATTCAATAATTTTTATGCACAAGTTAATAATTTGTATGCTATTGCAATATGAGTAAGTATATTTTAAAATTATTTTTTATGATTTTTTGACATTAGCAAGGGACAATACATCTTTAAAATTATTATACAACATTAAGTTACGTGAAATTATGATATCAAAACAACTTTAGAATATTTCATTATTTTCAGATGTTTATTAAGAGCTTTTGAAAACCTACTATAAAAGAAAACAAGAGAGCATTTCTGATATCAGATGGGAGAGATTTGAACAGACGATTAAAATGATTGAGAGGTGAGTATTTGAAGGTATTGGTTCTTGAATACCATTCTGTGAATATAAGGTCATGAGTATGTCTTAGGTAAATAGAGACAGCACTAAACACATTAAGATCGATAATACCATAAAGCCATTTGGAGATGAACATGATGTGGAGACATGATTCTGGCATAGGTTGATTCCATATTTAGCAACTGAATAATATGATGATCGGGTAGACCAATGACCACCAACATAAATACGTGTGAAACGCTGTTGAACATTGAAGAACGATTCACTGAATCGTGAATGAAATTACAGTTTATGCAAGTCCAATTCATAGTATTTAAACATGTTCTGTACCACTTCAAGGTCATACTAATACATGTTCTATGGAAGGTAGAACCACACTGATTGCAATTGATGTTCAGTTTAATTTTAGCAGGTTTGTCGCAGGTCTTATTGTGGTCCTGGATTGGGATGGACGTTTCCAGATACCATCAGGTAGCTCGCATAAAAGGTAATGTTATGGTTGGGGTATCTCTGTCTTTGCACTCCGTAGAAGCGGGAACATTTTCGTGGTCAATACACGATATGATGACTGGATAATATCGGCATATCAACGATTTCTAGGAGACTACCATAAAAAGTCGTTTGTTTCTCCTGTCGGATATCTGAGCAAACACTTATTCTCAGGTAGGAAGTAAAATCTACCACCTGTGATCGTACAATTTAAAGAGACGTTATGTACTATGCCATCATCAGCTGTAAATAAGATGTTTACAAACATACCTTTGAATCCCCATTCTTTGAAATAATAGGCCAGGTAAGTTCAAATTGGCGTAGTAATACTACGTCGATAATAATAATAAAAGTCGATAGAACGGCAGTAAGAATATTATGGCCTCCATGGCGATGACCGTAATTAATATTCCAGAGAAAATCAACTTTCACACAAGCGTTCGGATGATGAACATCTTAATATGATATATAAAGATAAGTAAGTGATTAATTAATCTTCTGGATTCAGTTGGTGTTCTTAGGCTATGATGATCACTTCCTTCTATTTCTAGATGAGGTGGTCTAGTTCATTTGCTTTGGCTATGGCTTCCAGCCTAATGGCTACCCAACTGTAGCCTACACAGGTCGTTGTTCCGACTTAAAACGGGTAAAACGGAATGTACAAAGAAAGATTGATTCTACTCGTAAAAAAGATAACGTACGTATTCGTTCTTTGTGTCTACAAACAATTATTATAAATTATAAATTTGATTGCATTAATAGTGGCCTCAATATAGATTAGGCTTTCTCAGCCATTATAAGATTTAGTTTGTTACTGACTCCATTGTTCATAATTAGCTCCATGACTGCACAGATAGTTTATCTGCCTAGCTCTATTTATTAGTAGAATGGTAAGTTGCTTGATTACACTTGTTATCTCTGATCATTGTATAACCGACTGCTAATTGGTTAATTGTGAGACTTGCTAATTATGTATGCATAAGCTCTTTTCTATTTTGTTTTCATTTTTTTTACTTCACACACATGATGAAGCTGCCATTGACTGCCAGCGAAAGCTTGTGTTGAATAACATCTAAGTTAGTCGCTGAGTGCTGCCTTTTAATTCTCTTTGTAAACAATTATTTGTAAAACTTCATCAAATACTGTAGATAATATTGCTAGTATTTTAAGCTGGACACACACTGTTTCTCTAGATCAATGTCCATCGTTTTCTTATTACATCTAGTTGTAGATTCGTTAGATTTGTTGCAACCGTTTTTCAATCAAAATTAATGGGGTGAACGATGGTTGGCACACAAACTCTGAAATTAGGCATAGGGAAGCTTAGGCCACAGGCACAGCAGTACCAGTAGTAAAAAAAATTGCCGACCGACCGACCCCGATTTTCAAATGTCACTGTGCGTTAGCAACACAACAAGCTATTTTTAGGCCTTATCTTCTTTTGTAATTTGTTAATGTTTTACCCCCAGTATATAATATTTATATTTCTTTTCTTATAAAATTGTGTCGATTCTCATTAAATATCTGAAACTTAGTTACAATAGACACAGAATGTTCTTATGCGAGGTAAAGCAGTAGGCAAGACGGCAATGAATGATTTAGATTATCTCCCGCCATACATTAATGTTTTCGCAACTAGAATATCATTGGTACATGTTTGAAGATTCATATCTCCGTTAGAATCATATAACGGAGGTCATGTTTGACCATTAAAGTTTCCATCTAATTTAAAAATACGCCGTCCTTGTCACTTTATTATTTACGTGTGAAATATATTTTCTTGATAAAAAATGCAAATCTCCCTATTTTACCAGGGAAAAACTATGTTGCCGTCCTATCTATGTTTCCATTCTTTCTCCGTTTGTACAACACAATGGTAGTTTTTTGGAGAAAGAAAATAAAATGTATATTTTGAAACCACTAAAATTAAGTTTTCTTCGAATCACCAAGACCCTGCGAGTTCATAAAGCAAAAACTATTTTTTCTATCATCGCAGACGGATAGTGCTATGCAAATGATTATCATTGTACCAGGGAGCAGTCATTTTACATAAGCGTCCCATTAAAATACCGATTTTCCAAACAAACGAACTATTTTAATTACCTGTCATTTGTTTGTGTGTGCATAGGGTATGTGGAGTTTATAAACGAACGATGAAATGCAAACATAGAACCAATACCCCTAGGAATCACTCTACAAGATACAAAAACATTGGTTTCGGGTCTTTTTCCATGGTGGTTTCACGAAATTCTTTCGTCAAACAACCGGACTTTTTAATCAAAACCCAGCTCTAATAAGAGCGAATTCATGTAGTATATATTTCCTAAGAAAACTCCTGCTGACAATGTTGTGTTGTTTTTAATCATCACACGGATCAAGAACTATTTTTCAAGTAATGTAAATGGAGTCAAACGAGACCCTTCGATCTCTTTATAAGGCTCAGATTCTACTGAGTAACATAGAGCTGTGATTTTCTTTGTGTTTAATGTCCTTGACAATATACTTTTTTGATATGACTCTCTCATCCAATCCATTCAAAGACATGATATAGTTGAAGTCACAGTATGTGGCGGCCATTTCCATCTTTCAACTGGATTATAACATGGTTCCATCGTTTTTCTATATTTTCCAGACTTTTAAATCGTTTATTATTAATTTGCTAACTTCTCTTTTCTAACTTTTTTTCTGGTCCTAGTTAGTCATAGATTCTTTGCTTTTTCACATGCTCTAATACAAACAGAAGGTATAAATAACACCATTGCTAGAAATTCCAGGGTCGACAATTTTATATTAAATCACCAACGATTACAGTATACTACAGCAGTCTTATTTGAAAACTATGTAGTTTATAGGTATGTATAAAAATGCTGTTGGAAAGAAGTGACAATTACTGTGTTACTGCTTAGGACGTGTTTGCACAGATTGTTACGATCATCCAGACACTGCTTTAGTACTACCTAATATTGAGTCTTGCAGGATGGCTTTCGTAAAATTAAGAACAAAACAGAGGGTAATTTAAATAACCGATAGTCCACCAAAAAGACATGGAATCAGAATACTCGAAGCATACTGTACTTCGAAAACAGCCTAGCCATCGTGTATGTACTGAGCCGTAGGCTTGCTGCAAGTCCCTGATGTTTTGTTCTCATTCTAGACAGCGCCACCAACGAGTGAGTTAATTTTGATAATCTCTATGCTCCAAATAGATATAGTAGGTATAGTATGTAAATATAGATATAAGTATAGTATGAAACGCCAATCAAATTTGGTATGGCGCACACTCAGCGCATTAGAAAGATTATATTTTACAGAGTAACCCAAATTATGCCCTTGAACCCAAGCTAGCTGAACCGTTGAAAATTGCAATCGTAATCATTAAAACATATTTACCATATCCAACAACGTATATTTTCAGCATGAAATATCTAATTTCAGCATAATGGATCTTCACAAACATAAGATACATGTTCATTGCTTCTATAGACATCCAAAATACGGAAGAAAGTCCAAAATAATGGATCAGTGTGGCAACAATGATGCATCCAGTTTCAGAACTTGTCTTTTTGATTCCAGTCACAAACACCAGATAGAGGAGTAGCAGCGATATCGATAAGTTGATATGTATTTTCTGAGGGATTTTGCATCGAATTTTCCTGCAATTCAAGTTCAAGAAAGTTTATCTCTATACTGCACCATGGTTTCACGTACACCCATGATACACCCATACACACATACATACATACACACATACATACGTATGAACCCGGCAACCTGAGTTCCTTTCATTCGTTTAACGTGTCTGACGATTTTGGTATAGCACTAGTTAGGTATAAAAGTACTGCAAGGCATTTTGAGTTGATTTAGACACTGATATTCATTAAGACGGTGGTAATATACTATTCAATAGATATTTTGTAAGCATTGTGTTAACTTTTTTCGTACGTGATACGTGATAAGTGGCACTGTTCATGAGACATTATACTTACTTTAAATAAAGGTAATTGGCAATTGTAATTGTTAAACAAAATATAGACACGATGCATCCGATCAAACTAATGACAGACAAGACATCTTGAAATTGTGATTCCTTTGGTTGATAATAATCCTGTAAATATGTAGAGAAATAAATTTAAATATTAAAATATCTTCGAAGATTACATTGTTTAAACATATGTTAAAAACAAATCTTAATTTAAAACTCACATTTAACTGTTGGTCTATATATAATTTATACCGAAATAATTGTAACAACAGTACCACATAATATCTGAGTTCCTAAACACTCTGTGAAAAATATATGTAACTTCCTAAACAAATATATGTAATTTGCCCAAATATGGATATTATGATGTCCTATCATACCCATAAATGAAAAAAAATCATAGAAATTTGTCGCAATAAAACTTGAATATGATCAAGATTTACTCATTCAAATACATTATCTACAATTCTATAAATTATAATGACAAAGCTCTGTAATGTTTCAAGTGGAATACGTGATCATAATCAACTAAAAAAGCGTGTACATAATTGTTCTCAAACATATTGCAGCAGTATCTATTCAAGCAGTAGCAGCAGCGCTGTGGTAGAGCAGCAGTAGAAGTTCTACTTGAAAGTTCAAAACATTGAAAACAAATTATTTGTATACTCTTTAATGTTGCTTTGTTATAAAAAGTGATTTCAATGGTGAATATCATTTTTCAAAGCAACATAATTTTGCTGGCTTTGTTGATCCGTCCGAAAAGGAGTATGATGTCTGTGGCGCTTGTGCTTGTTAACAACGAGGGCACAATTTTTTGTTTACTTCATTAATCCAATATGGCCGGAGATGAAGTCATAAAACTGCTGCTTTGCAAATGTTTTTGAATGCTTGCTATGTTTGCAATACATATACATTTGAGAAAGAGAAAATTTCTAATGCGTTTCGTTCAAGTGAAGAAAGAACTTAGGAAGCGTTTAAGGCGAGGCCGGCTTGAATTTCGAGCAGCTAGGTGCAGGCGATTTTCGCGTCTAAAGAACGGTCAGCTAGCGATTTCATCGGCGTTGTTAGCTGCAGCAGCGGTTGGTGGCTGCTCGTGTGACCGTCTGATTTGTTACCGGTATGCCTCAGTACGAATGCGGCAATGAACCCTGTACCCTTTCACATCGAGTTGGGCAAAACTCGCTACGGTATTAATGCGGTATTAAGACTAGGTCCCGATGAGGTCTAACTGAAGGCGGCGTTTAGTCGTATTTACCCTTTCACATAGAAGGCCGGCATTCGAGAAATACGGTATTAATACCGTGTTGCAGGTCTGTCTAAAAGGGGTATTGGAAACATGGAATAAATACTTATTAAGACATCTTTCCGAAAAAAATTATCTCGGAAAGACGGATTTCTGAGATAATTTATCTTCGACAGACGGAATTTCAAGATATTGTATCTTGGAAAGACGTCTTTCCAAGATAATTTATCTTGGAATTCCATCTTTCCATGATAATGTATCTTGGAAAGACGGAATTCCAAGATAATGTATCTTGAAAAGACGTCTTTCCAAGATACGTTATACTTTATCATGGAAAGGCGGAATTACGAGATACTTTATCTTGGAAAGGCGGAATTCCAAGATAATATCGAGAAGACGAAATTCAAAATTCAAAGATAGCCTGAAAGCTGTAGTAAGGAAAGTTAAGCTACCTGTGACTTACCAATGAATAGGCCTATATTTAATTTGTTCAAGTTCAAAGTTGTGAGTGAATATTATTGTATTTCATTGTAAATTGTTATATTTTCAGAAGATATTTCAGCCGCTGCAAATCTCTTTCCTATTCTTCCTTCTTCCTTTATTCTTTCACAGTTTTGCGTTTTAATCATATTTTTCATAATTTTACACACTCACATATAGTCACTTGTTTAGGCCTAGACTAGACATTTCGGAATTCCGTCTTTTCAAGTTACGTTATTTTGGAATTCCGTCTTTCCAAGATACTTTATCTTGGAATTCCGTCTTTCTAAGATGCTTATCTTCGAAATCCGTCTTTCCTAAATCAATTATATCGGAAGGACTTTTTCCAAGATAAATTATCTCGGAAAGACGTCTTTCCAAGGTAAAATTATCTCGGAAAGACGTCTTAATAAGTGTTTATTCCATGTTTCCAAGATAATTAGCTTGGAAACTTGGAAACTCAGAAGGTCACTTTAAGCTTCCGTAGATATGACCTTTAAACAAAAAAAAAATATAAACTTTGTATACTCACGATTAGAATAGCGAAGTTTGTCAGGTGGTCACAGAAGCATATTGCACTGTCATCTTCTGTCCTGTTAAGTGTACAACCATCATTAGACCATTCACCCACACCATTATCGAGGGAAAAGTTCCAGAAAACACATTCTGTGTTAACGATTTCCTACAAATCAAACAATTAAACTTGATTCAAAATCATACTTTAAATTAATGAGAAAATAAAGGCAATAAATTATAATATGTTTTCTTTAATTAATTACTCACTCACAAAGCTAGAAAGAAAAGTCACTTTTATGGGATGTACTAATCCATCAACCTTCACTCTCTCTACTGAAGCTGAAATAACATGGCCGCTAACTTTACGTTTAAGTTCTTTTCCAGACTCATTTGCTAACTTGTTTGAAATAAACAGCGAATTATTCTGGTACACAGTAAAATACAGTCCAATTTCATCCTCTTTCGTGGGAGATTGGCTTGAGGTAATCTCAGGTGGAAGAGAAATGGACGCTCCCACCATGTCAATGGGAAAAGGTTTCTCAGATAAAGTCACAATATCAGCTTCAAAGTTTTCACTAAGAGAATCACCATCTGAGAATGCCACGTACGTAAGACCATTGTCCAGAGCACGTGAGCTGGTTGATAACGTCATTATGCTGACATGAGTTAGTACAACAGTGAAATTTATGCCTGCTGCTGCTACACATTCAAGCTGTTGCTCTAAAGATTTAACAAATGAGGACGCTGTTCCTTTCATTGATTGGTTTTTTCCAAGTACACCAGAATCAATTACGTTGTTGACAACTGTAACTACGTCGAAAGTTACCTGGAAATATTTATAAATGAGCTATTTAAACTTGATGAAAAGGGATATGGTTTTTGATTCAGTCATTTTCAAGACATTGTAGATTGTATCATAATGATGTTATATACAGATATAATAGTTGTTTTGTTAAAATGATTTTTTATTTATTTATTTATTCCAAATACTAGCCCTTAACTATGTTTTCCAAATTGACGAATCAGTTATTTAAATAGAACATGTCCAATTTGACACTCTGTTGAAAAAAAGTATACTTACCGATTTGTTTGGCATTTTGAGTCCAACAATGTCTTCTAGTATATCTAACACGTTCATAATCAAATATTCATCTAGATCACCTGTATTGTTTGTAACTTTTGCAAGAGCATCGGCAACATCTACAACATTGTCTTTGATAACATTTATCTAGAGTAACATTGAATTAATAAAAATTTGCGATAGTTAGAATACACCTCAAGTGTATTGCACTGATTTTCAAAATAAAAAATAGAAATATATCAAAATGTTAGCTCAAATATAATATTACTTCTTTTATTCTTCGAATTTGTGTTGAGGATGTTCCGATGTCACAATCAGAAACATTAAAAGCATCCCACTTAGCTCCAGATATGTAATCTCCTCCACAGTAGCGTGTTGCTAAAGGAACCATATTACCTATAAATTATAGAATTACAATCATATACTTCTATAATACACAGCAATTATTAAGTGTTGTATATATGAGTATGGTATGCGCATACAGTGCACCATTCGAAACCATTTTCCAAAGAACAAAATAACAATCTTCAATCATTTATCACAAACTAACCCTCTAATTGAAGACCGGACCCCAGCTGATTATTTTTTCTCAATCATTTTGTTTTATTTTTAAATATATTTTTTATTATTTTATGATTGCTCAAATAATGCATATCATTCTAAATTCTCTTGCTTTAATTGTATTTAAGAGCTATAGAGTAATATTAATATTAGACAACTGTTTGAGATCATTTACATACATACGATATAAACTTTGCACTTATTTTCAAAATAAGAAAAATTAAAAAAAATGATTGAATACATTTTTACAAACCTTCATTTGAGTATAGAGGACATTGTTGTGTAGATTCTGCAATTGTGTGAAGCAAAACATCTTGGAAACTGTATGAAATACCATTCTGAGTGACGCTTTCTCCAGTACACATCACTATTATATAGATGTGCATTATAATTGTTTTGATATAAATATTTCGCAAGATAATAAACATCAAGTTCATCAAAAAGAATGAAACACTGTAGTACAATTTCAAACTGTTTAAAATCTGTTCATACTGCAGCCATAATATGCATAAGCACAGTTGTACATACTTTACATGTACAGCTAGTGCAGTTTTACAGTATAATACCAACGTTAAAGAGGGTGATTGACTTATAAAGCAATTAGTATATTACTTTACATTCATACACAATGGAAATTATTATAATTAGGAATAGATTACAGGCATTCATGACTTTTCATGCACCAAATGTAACCTTCGAATAATTCCACTAGTGTATGATAAGCAGTTGTCTTAAAACAGCAGCCCAACTTGTGTCCAGAATGTCTTGGGGCAACATAATACACCTTTCCTCTAATTGGTTAACGATAAAGAAGCGCATCTCATTTAAGTTTATACTCCTCACATAAAAGGCTTTCAACCTCGTTCTGTAGCATGTTCTGGGTTTTTAAGATCAACCACGGACATATCCATACTTTCAGTTCCGGCATCACGTCTCAAAACATACGTCCTTTTCTATTTTCAAAATTCTGACTTTCTGATCTTCGTCAGGCATCCTCATTTTAATATTTAAAAAGAAATTGAAGACCTATCTCTTCAATAAGGTATAAACTCAGTTAATTCATATTTACATTTATTTTCACTAGTTTTTCCTTGAAAAGTCGCGCCTCACTACAGGAGGTGGCACCGCCAACATAGTAGTGTACGGTAGTAGGGCCCCAGGTTTATCCTCAGTCCAATGCTTATCCTCGGTAGAAGCCATGGTACCCCATCTCAAAATCAGGGGTTTGCACCTTTCTCATTTTCTTTTTGTAGTTTTTTAATGGCGTGAAAACGCATTGAGACGGTTTTCTTGTGGAATGCGCTATAAAAATACATGGCAGATGATATAGTGTGTGTACCGGTATACTAGACATCTGTGTGCAGAAATATTACTGCCTATGTGTGTGTTTAGGTGTTGAAGTGTACACATATATACGCTCAAATTTAAATGTAAATGTATGGCCCTCCTTAAAATTTATCAACAAAACAAGTTGAGACACTATCCAACCAAGCTATATAAAAAATAATGTTTTGATACTTACCGGCTTCGTAAACAACAGTGATATAAGGCAGTACACAGGGATAATCCTCACCTGACCGTGCTAATAACACCAGCTGTTTTTGGTCGGGTCTTTGGTCTTTACATTCCTTTGAAAAAACAAAATACAGTGCTAATAACATATAGGGGCTTTCGATTCCGAACCTAGAACAAAAAGGTAGAATATTATCCGTGAGGGTTCTACTGTAAATCAGTATTGGTTTTACGACGCATAAGTGGAGTGTCAACAACATAAAAAAAAAATTTACGCGCAAAAGTTAAATTCTAGAAATTCCGGAAAAGACGCTCATCTCAGTTTTAACCACTGATTTTTATTATAAAGACTTGATTGCTAATTGAGTGGTGTTAGTGGCAGGCACCGGTACCATCTGCAAATATCAAAGTGACGTATCAGTCTAGCCACTTTAGGTAATGGGAAAATATATGCCTGTTTCTATTTCTAAATATACATTTGAGTATACACAAACAAGAAAAACGAACAATCATCATTAAAATGTAAGGAAAATGTGTAGAAGAAAGCTGATTACCATAAAAGAGCAATTGCTTACAAAATAAAACTGCACAATATGCACATTGCACACACTCGTACATATGGAAAGCCTTTTATTTATGCTAAACATACAAACCAAAAAATAATATAAAATTTAAATTGACACTAATTATGGGACAATAATTTTATAACCATTATAATATATAATGTTCCATCAGTTCTAGGCAATTTACTAATTTCCCTTACGATACCAATCAAATATTTGAAATATAAATTATCAAAAGGAAAAATTTCAAGAAGCATTGGCTTCCTTCCGTCTTACATACATATGGATAAATATATTCCATTTGCCTTGTACTAAAATGTCTTTTTGATGAGTAAACGCTTAAAGTAGAAAAGGTAAAGTGGAAGCACAGGGTTACATATTTTTTTGGAGCATCCTCTGTTTGTTTGTTCGTTCGTTCGTGGGATAATCCATAATCACAGCAGCTACACCGGTATGTTCATGGTTTCTAGCAAGCTAATGGTGTCCTCGTACAGATGAAGACCTTCGTATCCACAACTGGCACGTGCTGACTATATGGTCAGTGGTTTGGGATGCACTGCATTGACACTGATCTGAAGGTTTGCTCAAATTTTCTTCAGGTATGTTTGAGCCCTTCCGAATCCCGAGCAGAGGGAGTTTAGACGAACCCAGACTTTTATTGACAAGTAATCACAGCTTGGTGGTTTGGATGTTGGAGAGCTGATGTAATTGCAGAGAAAAGAAGATTTTTTCCACTCCTCAGCCTATCTGTCTGTTGCTCACGGTAGTACAGTGAATGCTGCTCTCGAAGCAGCATCACCTGGATAGCCAATTGAAGTCGTGCGATTCTTTGGTATAAGGATATTTGATTCATTTGCATTTCTGGCCAGTTTAAGAGCCAAATGCTGACGGCGAATAAGCGGTGGTATTATTCCTGGAAGAACAGGAAACGTTTTAGTTGGGTTGGAGGAAATTAAACATGGTATCAGTCTCATTGCCTAGTTGATTACAGTGTATTCTCTCCTGGTACGGTACAGTAGTTTCTGATGTACAGATATTAGCAGTCTGTTGTGACGCCTCATCCTGCACCGACAAGTTTCTTTAGAAGGCTGACACGAGATCGAAATTTAGCTGCAAAAAACTTGGCATGATGCGAGAATGTGAGATGATGAGAGAATGTGGGACTTCTGTCATGGGTAACCTCCAGGCAGGTTGGAGTGGAGGCAACCTTCAGTTTTGAACCATTAAGGGTAAAGTTCTATTTTAGTGAGACGTCTTGTCAGAAGGTGGGCTGAGCTTCAGGTGTAACTTATCAAAATAGCCACTAAATGTACCAAGGGTTTGTTATAGCCTTTCTTCGACTGGTTGGAATGCCTTGTCGGAAAACCATATAGACTTCTTCATTAAACTACTTACTAGGTCGGCCACAGCCGAGCCCTAGCATGGATGCTTTATTCATCACGGATCCGCATACTGGCTGCAAACTCATCTGTCTCCTCTAAACCAGATTTAAAAAAAAGTAAATTCATGTAAGTTAACTTTTGTCTGCCTCTGCTCATTCTATCATGTATGGGTTCCCATTGAATAAGCTGGATAACCGGAAGTTCTGGATGACGATGACAGTGTCCTGTCAGTGTCATTTTCCTGTACGCTATCTTCTCCCCGACCTTTGGTGGGGCGCCATACAATAGGTTGTTTGTATTCGATCATGCCAACTGATGGGCAGCTCCTATCATCCGGGTATATGTACCGTTTAATGATTTCTCTGGGACAGGTGTTACAGTCCAAGATTCGCATCCATACAATAAAACTGATTCAACTGCAGCCAAGAAGACGTTTCTTTGTTTGTCGGGCAATATGATTTCCATACTATTTTCATCTTGTTGAGTGCAGCCCAGGCAAGTGCTTTCCTGATCTTGATATTTGCTTCCGTGGAATACACCCATGAGCCAAGATATTTTAAATCCTGTACCTCTTTCAAAACCCTCCCTTCGATTATAGTTAGGGGGACATGGTCAGGTAGGTTGTATGTGATGACCTCTGTTTTCCTGGCATTACAAACGAGTCCTACTTTAATGCATTCTCTTAGCTTCTGAGCCTGTTGAATCGTGTTACATAGCAGACAGATGTCATCAGCAAAGTCTAGGTATGTAATGGTTAAAGCTGGGTGTGATTGTGAAGCCAAGTTCAGATTCCAGGCCACTAGTGGCTTGACGTAGAGCGTAGTCGAGGACAATGATGAACAGAAAAGATGCAAGGTGTTCATTAAACAGTCAGTGTTAAAAGTCTTTAAGCCAGACAATAAAATCTTGATCTTGTTAATGCCTGGAGCTCAGCTAATCTTATCTTTATAGCAGCGTTTATCTCTTGGGTGATAAATGGAGAGGACAAATCACTTGAAGGTGTAAGGGTTGATGCTGTGTGTTTGATTTCTTTGTTGACTTGTAGAAAGCACTCTTTGTAATACACCTCTAAAAACAAAGAAGAAAATAAAGTGAATGGTACATACCGTGTCATCTGAGACAACTATGTCATTCTCCCCACAAGGTTCAGATGCTAAGTGGGTGCATTTACGTCCAAAATGACACCAGTCACAATCAAAGCTGGTTACACATATAACACATCTGAAATGACACAAAAATAACGGTAAGCTTCAATTTAGCAAAAACTTCAATAGCTGTTAGATCCTCCTATCAGAGTTTTGCATATTATATCCAAAATGTTTGATATCATAAACCTGGTTTTTGCATGAATGCTATATGCAAACACTCTACAATCAAATACTTCAAATTGTGTTTAAAAACTATTTTGTGCCACACAAACACATAGTGTAATTTAGTTCGGAACAAGTCACTACTGATGATTAAACGATTACTACTCTTTTACATAGCATACTAATCAAAGCAAAACACTACTCACGAAGTTATAGCAGTGCAATTGTAGAAAGGAAAACTCGTGCTGACTACCGGTATATCAATTCCAGTCAAATTTGAATTTATAGACAATAATGAACATCTTGCAACTAAATGAAAACAAAATATAACAATATAATAATACAAGTTAAATTTGTACAGTGCATCATGCAAAAAAAAACCCCATCTTCTGTGCGCTATATATAATGATTAAAGACTTTACAGTGCAAACTACATGGTCTCAATTATGCTGTAATATAATGAAGTAAAACAATTCCTACGGCTGACCAAGGAGACTAAAATATAGACTACTACATACGAATAAACAGCCATCACTTCGTTTTCTTCGAACTTAGGACCAATGGTAATTAGTGCTTTGCAAGATCATCACTTACAGGTCTTCCAATGGTGGTGGCAGCTATAGTGGCCTATAAACAAATGAGTCTTGAGACTGGAATTTAAAATTGTCAGACTTGAAGCTTATATACATCGGTCAAAGTCTGGCTTTTAGTGTCATAACACTAAAAGCTCTTTTAAGGACGTCAGAAGTGCATCAGCCGCATCGGCGATGTCTGGACCACTATTTTCACAAAACCTTTATGACTTTTTTTATATTTACCTTCCCCTATAAACTATTTAATTTCAAAATTTTTTTTTAAACATAATGTTTTTTTGAATGTCTACATCTAAAGATGTTTTGTCCCCTGATAATGACAAAGAATCACTGCAATCATGCAATAACAAAAAATAACTTAATCATAGACATTATTTAATTTTTAAAAATGTGGACAGAGAATGTGCTAACTAACTAAGGGCGTGGTGTGATTACAACCAATTTTTACAATTAATAATCACACTGGGAGGCTATGGTTTTACAATACCAACATATCACTTATTTTAACTCAAATCAAAAAGTGTTAATGAATGGTGTTTCTTAGATATTAGTAGAACTAGAAATGTTCCTTTTACCCACCCAAGTCGTTGACTAAGAACATATTTTACAAATTCACAAGTACAAAATATTGTAACTTTATTTACGCCTATATATCAGTTAAATCAATCAAATCAATCAATCGATGGATTATATGGCGCATAATACAGCAGTCTCTATGCACCAATAAAAAAGACCAATGAAAGTGAAGCAAGTGGGTGCGGAACCAGATGCCGTTAGGGAAGAGTCAGTGTGCCGTTCTTTCACACTTTGAGGGCCAGCCGACCGATCCCGCGGAAAACATAATTCACAGGATTACCGTGTCATCCCATTCCCTGACAACACCTGGAAACACCATTCAAGAAAAAAAAAATAATTAAATAAAATGACCGATAAATTATGAGTAAGCTGAGTCAAAGAGATGTGATTTCAGTTTTTTTTTTTTTTTTTAAAGAGTAAGAGATGGCGATTCGCGTATATTATGTACAGGTATGTCATTCCATAATTTTGGAGCAGCAACAGCAAAGGCTCTTTCACCATACGTTTTCAGTCTGCAAAGAGGTACAAACAGAATTGACGAGCTTGTCGTTGACCTTATGGACCGTGTGCATGTGCTTGAACGAAGTTTGATCAGATCGGAAATGTAAGTTAGTGATTTGTATGTATAAATCATGATTTGTTGTGTGATGTGTTGCATCTTGAGAATATTTCCCCCGCGATTAAAATCGTAACGGTACTGGATTTGGTCTACAGGAGTTCGTGTTTCGTACATTTCATTCCATTCATAGAAGAAACCTTTATATTGGAGAAAGCGTACCTGTCGTTAGCCATAGTAGCCTAGGTCAAAACTAACTCCGGCTATATACAATTTATTATAAGATTGGAAAATATTAATTTTATTATTGTAGTAGTGATACTATGTACACGTTTTAATTATTGTTATTTATTCGTTAACGTTATTATATTTACATTTAAATTTAATGTATTGTTTAATTGTGAATTACTATGTCCATTTTAAATTAATCTTATGTATTAAAATTGTATATTAGTATTTTATAGGCATAGCCGAGTTCTAGCCTAGGCTAGGCCTAAATATGTTACTATATATGTAATTGTATTAAATTATGAAAAAATAGAATCGTGAGGTAAACGTGCTGCTCTATTTAACAGTAGTTGTACTTTCCGCAACTGGTTATGTGGTAGACCATAAAGGTTGCCATTGCCATAATCAAGCCGTGACGTAATAAATTATAAATGACTTTAATAATAATAAAAAAAATAATAATAATAATAATAATAGTAATAGTAATAATAATAATAATAATAATATTTATTATTATTATTATTATTATTATTATTATTATCATCATTATTATGTATTGTTTTATATTTATTATGTTTTATTTAAAATTTGCAGGGAATAAATTAAAGAATGTTCTTAATAAAGCATATAAGTGAAAACTGAAAAGTTTTGATACATAAAATTTCAAAAAAACTTTCTTCAATCGTCAATCTTCACCACCAGCACCGCACTAATGATTACTAGATAGACTACTGTAAATTGAGATAGAAACTTTTTTCTTATCATTGGTTGTTTATCGTATTAGCAAATTAAAGACCGTGTTTAACTGTATTTTGACTCGACATGAAACGTTTGATATTCAACTGATGCTATAAACATGACGCAAAATTTACCCACAATTTAATGTATTTACCATGACGGAATTGATCTTTTTAATAAAATCTTAAAACAATAATACATTCGCGTGAATACCAAGATATAAACAAACAAATGATAATTTCTCCTATCCGAATAATAGCTCGTGTTGGTATTCAAATAATACTAAGGTTAAATCTTAAAAAAATTATGTTGTTGAGGACAGACGTTTAACCGTTGTTTTACCCAGTCCTTTTATTAATAAAGTATAATATCGTAGGCCTATGATCACTGGACTGGTAGAACTCTTCCGAAATGTGTGATCATTATTGAAGAACTAAATATAAAAATATCACTTTATTGCATCAAAAACACAAATAAAGGAAACAAAGAACAAGAACTCATTATTGCCTAGGACTTATTCCTTATAAAGCGAACATGCAAGGCTGAGCAAAACACCCCAAAACAGCCACACGAGCACATAACATTCTTAACTTAAGCTCCATAAAAGGAACTTAAAAATTCAATAACCAAAGCATTTCAGATTTGATTTCGGAAGGAGGAATTATTAAAATTATTTACAATTATAATAAAACAACATTATTAATCTACAATTCACTATTAAAAAAAAATACAATTCATTAATATTATTAAAAATAACAATTCAATCGGCGATATTAGAATACAGTGAGATTATCCATGAGAGTTGCTTTATAACATAATGAATACTAGAATAGAAATTCAATTGGCGATATTATAGTACGGTGGGTTTATCCATGAAGGCATGCTCTTTAGCATAACATATACTAAAAGAGGAGGCTATTGAAATTTTAGAAATTGTGTTTCTAAAGAATTTCAAAGCGACCGGGTTATTGCAGAGTCAGTATTTTTCTTTAGGTGGTATGCATTATTAGAAGCCGAAATATAACCTCTCGAACCTATATCAATAACAATTAGTTCCACTTCGAAGCCAGAGTCCGAGATGTCCGCCCTAAGAGGGGAATATTTATTAATCTTCCGCATGTGCGCTTGGTTAATACTAGTTTCGAAAGTCAATTCAATTATGAAAATTTTTTCTTATTTTTCCAAAAGAAGAGGGTAGTAACTGCGCATTCCGGTGGAATGTTAATTAAGTGCGGGACATTTCGGTCTTCGGCTGCGAGATCGGAGAAGATTAACGGGGGGAAAGGTATTTTCACAATTCCTTGTTTCAAGATTTTAACCATAAAGTTGAGAATGTTATTGTGTCTCCATGTGAAGAGGCCCTGGTCCATTGAATGTTTACAATAGTTAGTACATTATGCATGGTTTCCCTATTCCCACATGACTTACAGTTTGACGATAAAGATTTTCCCCAGCTTTGCAGATTTACTTAAACCCCCAACGCATAACTAAAAACTTTAACATCCCGGAAGGTAAATTGAAAATAATGCTTTTCCTCCAATGATTACAAGATTCTTCGAGTGATAGTAGCTCATAGAATCTTCCCTGAACGAGGAGCTCCTTTACATGGAGATTCCAGAAGCTTTTGATATCATTGCTAAGTATTTTCTTCGCCTTAGCTTTCATTTGAATTAGACTCTCAACAATATTCTCCGATCTGGCAGTAATGGAGTTTTTTTCGACTCCACTGATTTTCTCTGAGGAGTCTCATATCAAGACAGTGGTTCACAATCTCATCCTCCCTTATTCGATTTGTAAGATGAGCCAAAATGTGACATTCTTTGTAGACAAAATAATTGTTTGGAATACTGAGGCTATTTGGCAAATGGACAAAAGCAAGTGTTGCATTTCGTGAAGTCCTAATAGACTAGGGAAAAAATAAAAAAAAGAGGCCTAGAAATCAAGTTAGGGGGAGTGGAATGTTAGAAGCAGTCAACATAGCCAGATATCCGTCCTGGTCACCCTAAGCCCTGTTGACACTTGATTTTTCACCTGGTATACATTTTGAAAAATGGCCGCCAAATTTATCTAAAATGTGCATATAATTGGAACTAAATAAGCTACAGATATGATGTTAGTGTCTAAAATCATAATTTATATACAGGCAACAAACCAGACATTTAAAAACTACTGTCACTCATGCCAGAATGGAACATAATTAAAAAATAGGTGT